TCCTCACTAGCAAGCTCATCAAATTTCTCCAAAGACCTTGGAACCCTTTCATGGGTTCGGCAAGGAAAAATGTCTTCAAAGAAACATGCATTCCTTGACTCCATAATGGTATTCCTGTGTATGTCTGGAATTTCAGACTTATGTACAAGAAACCGATATGCACTACTATTATGTGCATAACCAATGAATATACAATCCACGGATTTCGGGCCTATCCTAACCCGTTTGGGTGTAGGAATTGCCACTTTTGCAAGACACTCCCACATTCGTAAGAATTTATACGAAGGCTTAACGCCTTTCCATAACTCTTTTGCTGAGCTCTTTGGAACAAAACACACTATAGAGTGAGTCTGCCAAGCTGAAACACATAGTTCCGGCAAAGATAGTCTGTCTGCTTCCATGTGTCAAGCGCCATGACTTTCTGCCTATCAGGCTCATTCTCTGCCACGGCTGGAGGATCCTCGCTCAGAACCTTTGCAAGGTTTAGCGTGGTCAAGTAGAACAGCATCTTTTGCTGCCATCTCTTGAAGTTCACCCCAGCAAATTTCTCTGGGCGCTCATGATTGGATCTGAGCGGTCCTCCCGGAACAGCCGGAGTAACGCTATGGTTGACCACAGAGGTCACAATAGTAGGGGTTGGCAACCCAGTTGCCCCGGGGTTCAGATCCCCACCAACATTAGCAGTAGCAGCAGCATCAGTGATAGTTGCCATTTCGAACAAATAAAACCTCCTTTTTAGCTAAGGCTAAACACTTTGGTTTCTATTCCAGAAAACCAAACCAAAATCCAAACTTACAAGCAATTTAAACTTGCAAATAATTTAAAATTGCTATAACCAAATACATGCATATAAAATGCGTCTACGAAGCAAATAAAACTTGCTACTACAAATTGGTAAACAAACCAACTAAATCTCAAGTAAAAAATTTCTTCAAACATAAAGAAAAATAACCAATCCAATTGAGGATTATAAGTAGTCCAAACAATTCCCTTCTACGCTTAGGTATGCCTACAAAGAGAGTTAATAGAAAACGACAACATAATATAAAGCAATTGTACATACAATCAAATATTATTTAACCTTCTAGCAAATCATAGAATAGCAAAATAACTAAGGAATTAAGATACTATACAAGTTACAAAACCTTATAACTTCTACATTAAATTAAAAAATTAATTGCCATAAATTATATAAGAATTTAATTCACAATAACCATGTAAATAAATATAGGCAAGTTATACAAATTTTATAACTCCAAAGAACTACATTTAATTCAAACTTTAATTCATCCAATTAAATCACACACTATTCATGGAAATAACTTATGTGTGTAACTCTAGAAACTAAAAGCAATTTCACATGCAAATTAGATAGTAAAGCTAGAAGCATGCAAAATCAAAATATACATATGCAACATTAGACAAATAGGATGAAACCAAATAAGTAGCATGCGGTTTATGTAAATAATTTGAATTGTTTATATGTAATAAATTAATAACCAAGCACTTCAAGTATATAACCATTCAGCCATTAACATGCAAAAATTCTAAAGATTAAATTATGTAATCTAGTATAGAAAATAATAAGCATAGAGCATTCTAATTAAACTAAACAATTAGAGAATCACATTGCATAATTTACAAGAATTGAAATAGGGAGCATTTCCGCAACAGTTCCTAGTAACATTATACAAATGTCTATATAAATCTATTCGATCAATTTCATAGGAAAAACATATATGAGAAATCTGTTTTAAGCTTGTTGTTCATATTTTGAAATTAAATAAATAGATTTATGAAGAAATCAAATTATATATATACTAAGAACACATGCTAATAACTACAACTAAATTTCAACAGAAATACACAAAACAATAAAAGGGTAAAAAGACGAAACCGAAGCCTGCACGGAAGCAGTTTTCTTAAAACAGATTTCGCCGCCTCATTGGTCGAGTGCTTGAGGAATCCCGGCGTCTGTCTCCCAGGATACGACGCTCAAAACCAGCTACGGCAGAAGCACTCTCTGTCTAGCTTAGCGAACAAAACAGTGGCAGTACTCTTTCACTGTAGAAACTTTCAGGCAAACTAACTTGTGAAATGGAAGTAAAAATTTCTGTGTTTGAGACTTGACAGGAGGGTCTCAATTTATACATGTATAGGGGAGAGAGGAAGAGCCTCCAGCCTTTATGGCTATTCACAATGCACCATTAACCTCTGCAATAAAGGCAGGAGTTACAAACCCCATTAATGCAGGAGTTACAAACCCCATTAATGCTCTATTAAACTCTGTAATAAATGCAGGAGTTACAAACTTCATTACTTTTTTCCATGAAGCTAACTTCATGAGGTAATTTTTCATTCAAATCTCAATGGTTTTTGGCCATTCTATCTGTGGTGTAAAGATCTCAATGCAAAGTATCTAGACCCACTTGGACCCAACACAATAGATGGTTGGGACCCACTTTAATCTTTAATTAAAGTCATCACACTTTAATATTAAATTAAAGTCCCTAAAAATCATTTTTTCCAACAGTTAGATGTCATGCAAAATAATGATGCAAACCCATCAACTGAAACTCAACAATAAGTGAAAATAAATCAGAAAAAACAGTTCCTGAGAGAAGAACAAGAAGAATAAAGATGTCTGTTGGCTTGCCAGGACAACAATGGAGTCTGCAGCTTCAATTCTTCTGGCCCCAAAAAGCGATTCATATGTTTTTGATCTCACAATCAAATCTCTCACCCTTTAATTTGCCAACACAACCCAAATCGAACAACAATGGTGTGTTCGATTTTTGTATTCATTTGTTTGTTAGCTATTTTATCAATTGCTTCAATAATTCTTCGATTAAGAAAAAAAGTCATCTTTGGCGGCGGAGGAAGAAGACCCAACAATTTTTTACCTCCGATGCCACCACAGCGCCAGTCCCCTCCCTCAGGTATTCACCTACGAAAAGCTCGAGTCCTCTACAAATCAATTCGACTCGAAACGTAAAATCAAGAACGACAGGTTCGGATCATTCTATCTAGATCAGCTCTACGACAACCAAATCGTCGTCGTGAAATACCTCCACAACCACCACCCCACTGTCGCTGGCTCCACCAGAGCTAGAGCTTTCTCATCCTGCAACGAAATCCTTATTCTCTCTTCGATCAATCACCCAAACACGTGGCAGATAAGGATGATCGGCCTGATGGGAAGGAAGTGGTGGTGGAGCTGAGAAGGATTTGCAACCAAACATGCGGCGGCGGTGGCGGAGGTAGTAGTGGTGGTGGAAGTTTGAAGGGGCTTCGGAAGAGGGTTGAGTGTGTGGAAAAAGGATTGAAGAGGTGTGTGTACAAGATATGATTTTAGGATATGATTGGAATAATTAGTGTGTAGAATGAGAATAAAATTAATAATTAAATTATTAAATGTGTGTATTGAGAAGTGATGTGCATTGAGATAAATAGGCGTGTGGAAATAGAATTGCTCTTAATTCTTTCAAGGGTAAATTACTTAGCTCCTTTGAGGTTTAGAGAAAATATAATAAGCTCTTAAGTTTTGATATAATTACACTAATCTCCATTTGAGTAAGGTTAAAAAGACCAAAATTAATACAAATGATATGAAGGCACAAAAATGCACAAGATAAAAAATACATTTCAATATAAAAAATAACAAATTTTAAATTTTATTTTATTCATATTAAAGAACTTGTTTCAATTTATCACTTAAATTTTTATCAAACATTTTCAATTTAAAAAATTTACCATTCAATTTTATCAAGGAAAAAGCGCAATAACTCAAATTAGAGGTGGCTCGAATGGCTTGAATGGGTGTTGGCCGGTCATCCGCTCAGATGACTGGCTGAACGTCCGCCCTAACGACTAGGTGAAAGATTCTCTACCGCGGTTATCACCATTGTCAACTGCGGCTGTCAGCCTCCTCACTGGACGACCTGCCGGACATCTGCCCGGCCGGCCGGCAAAGTGAATTTCGAGCCATTCGAGCCAACCTCATATTCGAGCTACCAAGCATTGCTCTTTTATCAAACACCAACAAATTAGTTAAGGTGAAAGATTTATGAAAAAAGGCGCATCTCAATTAGGTTGTTACATACCCTCAACCAATTGTGAGCAAACACCTTAACCACAAACAAATAAAAAAGAAAATGATGATAATTGGAAAGAAGAGGCAAACAAAAAGCAAATTACAAAACACCCTCTCAAACTAACTAATCAACAACAAAGTATTTTGTCAAGAGACTAAGCAATAAAATCTAACAAGGATAAGAGCAAAACAAAGATGAATAGTAAGTCATTAGCAAACTATCTTCTCCAATGAATGAATTGACTCCATAGAGAGCACATCCATGTCCAAACCAATTAAATTAGAATACCTCCTCTTCCATGCTTGAAATTGCCACTGGTTGGCAAAGCACATATCAGTAATTCCAAAGTAAAATAAATAACCCAGTTACAACTTCAACAAAAGTAGAGAAAAGAACAAAAATTCATAGTAGTTATTCAAAATCCTTAACATCATGAAGAATATCCAGCATATAACATATTAACATCACACAACATAACATAATTATAAGGAAAAAGAGCAAGAATTATTGCCTACCGAATCTCTCACTAGTCCCGAAACAACCAATTGCCAATTTAGTGCACAAAGATTGAGGTTATAGACTGTCACAAATCAAACAATCCACCCAATGACTGCCGAGGCAGAAGACTTTTTTGCTCACCGGATGTACTGTAGAAGCATTTCCAGGAACGACATTTCCATAGGGAGAGAATTGTAATTGGAATGCTTCTTTACTAGTTGATTGGCTACTCTTCTCTTCTTGCTCCTTGTGCACAAGATGGACTCCAACCTCCTTCACTTGAAAATCTTCATTTCCAACCACTGAGATAACCAGTTCATCCCCATCTTTCAATTGATTTTCAAACTTCCAATAACTTAACCACATCATATCCTCATCAACTTCTGGAATGCCAATGAAATTTGGGGAATGGCTCCAAATTAGACCTTGGTTGTATTATTGATAATAATATGTGCATCACAATTATAGTAAGGATGTTTTGGATGTTTGGAAAGTGCATAAATAGAACACACACTTAAAGCTTGAATTCTGAAATGTGATGGCACAATAAAAGATAATGAAGATCCTGTATTTTTAAGATTAAACCAAGTTGAAATCTTGCTTCCCGGAATATAAGCATAAAATATATGTTGTTCATGACATCCCTGTACCAAAGAAACCATAATTTAACCATTACAATTTTTTTATTATTTTTAGTTTTGTTTCTTTTGAGTGAGTGAGAGAGAGAGAGAGAGAGAGAGAGAGAGAGAGAGAGAGAGAGGAGAGAGAGAGAGAGAGAGAGAGAGAGAGAGAGACAGAGAGACCTGTAGGGGAAGCTTCCTTGAATTATCTAAGTAGGTGCTTGAAAGCGTAACAGTTGGGCTTCCCATGGATCCAAAGCTCGGCAAGCCCAAATTATTCATTATCTCCATGTCAATATTCCCTATGGGTTCTAACTTAAGTTCGCCCATAATCTTAACTATATTGTTGCACATATCACAGTATAGCAATGGTCTCCAATAGTTTTTCACAACAAATTGATTCTCCCATATGTTATTATATTGCATAGTTGATGGAGCTGAATAAAACGCACATTTTGAGCTGTAGAACTCTCTCAAATTCTGCCGCATTATATATAAATCATAAAGGTTGTCGAATTCTATGGTTGATGATGGAAATGATTGAAATGTTACTTTCTCCTGCAATGTACATTCAGTGACCGACAATACTTTCAAATTCTGCTCCACTGTAAATGATTGAAGCCTTTTACACTCATTTAATTCAAGGATCTGAAGTCCAATAAGACCTTTGATGCAATTGGGGAGGCTACAAAATGGATTATTGCCCAGATTTAATATCTGCAATGAGAATAGGTTGCAAAAATCCTTTGGAAAAGCATCCTCCGATAATTTGCAATCGACAAGACTTAAGTGTACCAAATACCGTGGTAAAAGAGTACATGAAATTTCTACACTTTTTCTTGGTTTCGATAGAGAAGGCCAGATGAATGAATACCATGGTTTGACCTCCTTAGTGGTAGAGAATAATTGTCTTACGGCAATTCCATTTGCATTGAGCTTTCTTAAAGAATCCATAGTCCCTATGTCTAGTGGCAGTTTCTTAATATTTGAGCAACCTGAGATGTCAAGTGTTTCCAAAAATTTGAGCATAACAATGCTTCTTGGAAGCTTCCGTAGATTTTTGCAATCTTTTAAATTTAATAAAACAAGTCTCTGAAGGTATCCAACAGATTCATGAACCTCTACCAGCCGTGCACAATTTTCAAGTATTAGTCGCCCAAGATTGGGTACTTCCAAGAAATCAGGAGTTTCGAAAAGGCAGTGGGAATGACAAAGATCAAGGATTTTTAATGATTTGAGAAACTGTAAGAGAAAAAAAATGTTGGTTATTGTTTCTTTTAACTCTCAAACAAAATTGAAATGAAAACAAACAAATGAGTAACATACCCTGGTTCCTTCCCAAACCTTTTGTAAGTTGCTATACTGCATGTCAAGAACAACCAGGTTATCCAAAGGAAAATCATCGCATATAAAGTTGAAAGAGAATCCGTGCCAACACAACCATCGTAATCCTTTCGGAAAATTTTCAAAGCTTCCATTGACTTGTAAATTTTTGAGTTGCAAAAGTTTTAGTTTGTGCATCCTTGCAAATGCATCAACTTCCAAAGCTATCTTATCTGAATTTCGCGGAGCAGTGCCTACTGTCTGCCAGGAAAAGATGCCAAAACAAAGTCTTTTAAACGAATTTCCTACATTTGACAACAATGTTGTGCTAAGGAATTCTTCAAAATGACATTTTCTTTTGATACCAAAGACTGTCCTATCATATTTATCCTCCAAAAAATTCATATCAAGTTTGAGGCCTTCAATCTTTCCCGTCCCCTGACAAAGAATGAGAGAGAGATGACATTGATCAAGAAGAGTAACACTATACAAATAAATGTTTTGCACAATTACTTTCCGATGCACCAAAAAAAAAATTATTTTGTACAAAATTCTCATACCAAATGATATGTAACTTTCATTTCAAATGAAAACACCACCAATGTAACTTGTGAATAATTTTTTTTTTCTCTTTTTTTTTTGGTATGAAGTTTCTAAGTTTGGATCATGTTTTGATAATAAATAACTACACAAATACATTCAAATATAAATGAGGAGTAGGATTTATTCTTACAGTATTTTCTCTCAAGACATTGAAGGAATCTTTATGATTCCATAGTCTACTACGTTCTCCCAGTTCCTTAGGTGATTCTTGGCGAACAATTTCTCTTCCCATTTCTTGAACCAATTGATGCATCACTAGCTTTTTGCGTTCATCAACTGCTAACAGACATCTATCTATAAGATTTTGAATCCCAACTGTTGTGTAAAAATCACATCCATCTAGAATGGTAACTACCCAATCTTCATCCATCCCAACAAAAAAACAAGCAACATGGAGGAATAAATTTTTGTCATGTTCATCTGGTAACGAGTCATAGCTTATTTTGAGCTTTTCAACAACTTCATAATCAGGGATTGCTTTCAATTTTTCCAATTGACTTTTCCAAACATTTAAACTTTTTCCTGACAAAGAAGAACCCAAAACTTTTATAGCTAGTGGAAGCCCTCCACAATATTGTACCACCCTTTCTGAGTCCTCTGCAAAACCATCAATGGGACGGTTTTGCCCAAAGGCATGACAACTAAAGAGCTCTAAGGACTCACCATAATTCAAAATTTCAACCTTGTGAACTTGGCAAACTTCATGAGCCCTTAGCAACCGCTCATGTCTAGTGGTTATGATGATTTTACTACCTTGAAAAAGCCAATCTCGCATTCCAAGTACTGCATCTAATTGGTCCATTGTATCCACATCATCAAGAATTACAAGAACTCTTTTGCAACATAATGCATCTTTAATATGAACAATTCCTTGATCAACATTGTACAACTTTGTCTTTCTTCCCTTTAAAATGTCTGAAAGAAGTTGTTTTTGTAAATGAAGTAAACCATTTGGTTGTTTTAGAGTTTCTCTTACATTTGCAAGAAAACTACTACCTTGGAATCTTGAGAAGTTCGAATTATACAGAAATTTGGCAATGATCGTCTTTCCTATTCCACCTATCCCACAAATTGCAACTATACCAACATCACTACTCTCATCTTGTAACCAAAGCCCAATATTTTTGGCTCGAGAATGCATTCCAATCAAGTAGGGCGAATTGCCCAAGATTGTGCATCTTAGTTTGTCTACAACCACTTCTACAATTTTGTGGATAAATTTTGACTCGAATCTGAAGATAAGATCAAGATTAAAAAGAAAGCACAATAAGAATGCCATGACTAGAACTTAATTATAAATTTTCATGCAATAATGAACAAAATGACTCTGTTATTCTCTTTGGTGAAACAATTGGACGAGTCCTAGATGAAAAGAAAAGGGTTTTCACAATCATGGTTGTACATCAATATTCTTCTCTTTTTTTTTTCTAATATAAATTGTTTTCTGTATTTTGCAATTTTTTTATTTGTTATTTATATAGTAAGCTAAGCTATTAAATTTTTTGAAGAATAGTCTATTTTTTTTTTCAATAAATTTTTTTGGATTAATTATACCAAAACCCCCTCAACTATTAGTAATATCATTCCCCTCCACAACTATGAATCCATACTTTTTGACCCTTTCAACTATAAACGTGTATCATTTTCACCTATCTAGACCACCTCTAGAATTAGTAAATTTGTGTGATTTTTATACTTAAAGAGGGTCAGTAGGTACAGATTCATAGATTGGGTAAAGTGATATGCACTACTAGTTTAGGGGGTCTATCTTGGTATACTTGACCCAAATTTTTATGGTTGCAAATAAATAACTTCACATCATCTTTTCAAATAGATTAAAAGGGAGAAGCATACTCAAAAAATCGTAGTTAATAAATTCAAGCTTTTTTAGAGTCTTCACATCATCTTTTCAAATAGATTAAAAGGGAGAAGCATACTCAAAAAATCGTAGTTAATAAATTCAAGCTTTTTTAGAGTAATATGAAGAACGTCTTGTGAACCAATACTTGCAGTATGTTGAGATATTCCCTCGAGGACAATTTAACTCCTGTATTTAAAGGTTAACTCCTAAAAATTAAAGATGTCAAACTCTTGTATTTAAGAGAGAGAGAAAAAAAAAAAATTCATCCCAAATTTCGATTTAATAATTCATAATCTAACAGACCCTCGTATGAAATTCTTCTAATTATGAAATCCCAAAAAAGGGTGGTGCAAATAATGCTTAGCTAAAAGAGGACATGAGAGGAAATTACCCATCAACTTGATTTTGTAAATTCGTCCCTGCTAAATCTGCAGCTTCTTTGAGTGCGGCCCTACATTCCTGTATCTTGCCCTTCCATTCATCTTTTTTTTCAGCCCCTTCTGTATGGAATCTCTCTTCATGCCTCGTGAATGCTTCTTCGAAACTTTCCATTTGCTTCCTCACATGGGATGGATCCACGTGATAGAAGACAGGTAGCACTACATGCCCAGTAGTCCTTCTACGTTTGAGGATCATTACAAGTTCATCAAGACACCAGCTCGAAGAAGCATAGTTTTTTGAGAAGACAACTATTCAAATCCTCGACTCTTGAATTGCTTTCTGCAATTCAAACTTAATATTTTCTCCTCTTTCAATCTCGTCATCATCTCTAAAGGTGTGAAATCCTTTATGATTTAAAGCTGTGTAGAGGTGGTCAGTGAACGTCTTGCGAGTGTCTTCACCTCTGAAACTCAAGAACACATGATAACTACATGGAGAATCTGAAGAGGAGGCATCTTGGGCTCTAACAATCCCCATTGGATTAAAGCTCCTCAAAGAATTAAGGACAGAAGAGCTATGAGATGGGATGAATGCTATCTGTCAAGGCATCATATATATTTTATAGATGTAACTATATGTAACCATATGAAAGGGGATACAAATGTGTGGGAAAAGTGGTTCAAAGCGAGTGTGAACATTTTCGGCATGGAAGAAGCTGCTTGGAAGTTGGGGTAATAATATATATATATATATATATATATATGAAAGAGGATACAAATGTGTGGGAAAAGTGGTTGGATGAGCAAGGTTGGACACAAATGCCGAGAAAGTGGAGATTTTTATTTTTATTTTTTACCAAATTCAGAATATTTTACATAATTTTAAAACTTGAAAGTGTCCATTTTATAATATTTTTGTTTTTGGGTATATATCATGTATAATTTATGATATTTTTAGTCATAACTAAAAAAATATGATGGGTCATAATCAAACGTCAATTGAAACATCTCAATTGAAACATAATAACAACTCCAATAAGTTATAACCAACCATCAAAATGGGTCACAACACCAATTGAGTCTCATAACCAAAACATCTTCAATCATAACTAAAATAAAAACAACAATAACTAAATTATAACCAACGCCGTAATTAGTTATAATAAACACCACAATTTTATTTTTAGTGGCAAAGAAAAATTTATTTGATGAAAATTCAATAGACATAGAAAACAATTGATCAAAACCAAAGACAACAAAACTTGTGAGTGGATATATATATATTTTAACTTGGTATAATTGTAAGTGGACATATGGTACACCTATTTTTTGAAATGTGTATTATGGAATTTTTCAAGTTAAAGTTATTTTGAATTTATATATATTTATATGTTTTTTTGTAAAATGATATTTTAAAAATAAAATTTTAAATTTTGTTTTCGACTTCAATTAATTTATTAAAAAAGCCGTAATCTTGTTTTGAAAATATATTTCAGATATAAGTTAAAAATTATTTAAATATAAAATATAAATTTCAAAAAAAACATAAGTTTGATAATAAAAAATGGGTAAATTACAAATATACCTCCTGAGATTTGTTTAAAGTACAGATTGTCCTCTATGATTTGAAAAATTGCAAATATCCCTTATTAAAAAAATTTATTTAACAAAATTAACTAAAAAAATGAAATTCATAATTGTTTTCCTATATAATAATAAAATTACCTAAATTATAAATTAAAATATAATTCTAACATCATTAAAAACTATTAATTGACTTGATAATTTATTAATAAAAGGGGGTGATTTGTTATGAAATTAGAAACCTCAGGAGGCAAAATGTAATTTCTAAAACTACATGGGGCGATTTATATTTTAATTAAACTTCAAGAGATGTATTTGTAATTTACCCTTTAACTTATTTAATTTTTTCATACGTAAGAAACTATAAGTAAAAGATACCCCAAGCAATTTAGTACATACTCCAAAATTAAAATGCTATAAACAGCAAAATGAGCGCATTTGGGATGATTTTTCCATAATAATAATAACAACAATGCTAGAGACCTCTAAAAATACACCTCTAAATACACCTCTAATGAGGTGGAAAAGGAAAAATAAAAAATAAAAAAAATCAAGACACAGGACTGACAGTGGCAGTGGGTGGGACCCACTGCCACAACATTAGTGGTACCTCTAATTAGAGGTCCCAAGCATTTTTCTAATAATAATAATAGTAGTTGTGAACTTAATTGTGATGTATTCTTGAGTTATGATGCAATCAAAGAATTCCTCATCTTGTACTTTTTTTATTATCAATAAAATCTTTATTTTGCTGGTCAAAATAATAATAATAATGATTTTGTAGGTAAATTTGTGAAAAGATAATTTATCCTCAATATTTTTAGAAATTTCATAATATCCACGGAATACTATAATGACATATGACCACCTCAAGGCAAAAAAAAAAAAGTGAAAAAATGTTTATAATTTGATTTTTTAATATGATTGAAGTTAGATAAACATAAACACTCACAAAGAAAAAAATATGATTGTAATTAGTTCAATGATTCTTTTTTTTTTAATGTGATTGTAGTTAGTCAATGGTTCTTTTTTTCATTTATTTATGTTTTTTTTTATTATGGTAAAAATTTGTGATGTAATTGTAGTTTTTTCAATGGTTCTTTTTTTAATGTGATTTAATCTTTTATTTACAATTTTAATGATTTTTTTTTACAATTATTTATGAAAAAAATATGATTGTAATTAGATAGCATAAAAATATTTGTGATTTGATTTGATTCTTTTCTGATTTGATTTTTAAAGTACAAATTATTGATAATGATTAGATTGTATTTTGAAAAAAAATTGTAATTGATTTTTTTAACTTACTGTGTTTTTTGAAAAAAAAATTATTGTGTTTTTTTAACTATCAATTCACTTAATTTATGATTTGACTTTTAACTCATTGTGTTTTTTGAAAAACAAAATGGCAATATTAAAGTCACATAATGTACTAATTATTGATGATGATTAGATTGTATTTTGACCCAAAAAAATTGTAATTGATTTTTTTAACTCACTATGTTTTTTGAAAAATAAATTATTGTGTTTTTTAATTATCAATTGACTTAATTTGTGATTGATTTTTTTAATTATTGTTGATGATTAGATAGCATTAAAAAAATTGTGATTTGTATGATTGAAATTATCTCCTTCTATTTATATTTTTTTTTTAATATGATTGAAATTAGATAAACATAAACACTCACAAAAAAAAATGTGATTGTACTTTATTCAATGGTTGTAAATAATCTTTTTTATTTACTATTTTAATGGTTATTTTTTTCAATTATTTTTTTTATTATGAGAAAAATGTCATTGTAGTTAGATAGCATTAAAAAAATTGTGATTTGTATAATTGAAGTTATCTCATTTTGTTTATAATTTGATTTTTTAATATGATTGAAGTTAACTCACAAAAAGAAAAATGTGATTGTAGTTTGTTCAATCGCTCTAAATAATCCCAATTTGAATTTTCTAAATTTTTTATTAAAAAAAAAACTCAGCATTTATTGATTTGGTCAAAATCCCCTGATTAACATTTATTAACTTTTTTTTAATCCGCATATCTTTCCACATGCCTGCATTTATTGATTTGGTCAAAATCTCTTGATCAGCATTTAAAATCCCCTCATACAAATAATTATAGATGCAATATGTGTATAGTTACTGCAGTACCATTTTCAACTTCTCTCATACACTATGATTAGTGATAAGATTGTTAAATTATTTTTATAAAAAGTCCTAAAAAAACAAAATTTATATATTAAAAAAAAATCTAAAACAAATATAAATATCTATAATTATCCCGTGCATAGCACGGGTGATAGGCTAGTACTATATATTAAGTAAATGGGGGTTTTTAACCCCAAGCCTTATAGGAGCTCCAATCTCTCAATCTAAATTTCTTGATTTTTTTATTTAAAAAAAAATAAAAACCTTAGCATTTATTAACTTCTCCCAACCCCCAAGTCGTACTCTCATAATAACACTTTAATACATTAAGAACAAGTATAAAAAAAATTTCTTTAAAATCTAACACATATGAATTCTTTGAAAAGTTCAAATACATATGATTATTATCCCTCATAATAACACTTTAATGCATTAAGAACAAGCATAAAAAAAATTTTCTGAAAAGTCTAACACATATGATTATTATCAAAATATTAACTTTAATAATAATATAATTAAAAAAAAAACATTTATTTCTTTGAAAAATTCTAGCACATATGATTATTATCAAAATATTAAACTTTAATATAATATAAAAAGGAAAAAAAAAAGGCATTTATAAAATAAAATAAAAAAGACATTTAAAAATCACAATTCATATATATAAATAATTATAAATATAATCTGTGCATAACATAAGTGATATACTAGTTATATTTTAATTAAATCTCAATAAATTTATTTATAATTAACAAAAGAGGGTCGGTGGTCGAATCACAATGAAAGAAGTGCAGGCAGGAAATTAAAGAAAAAATTATTAATTGCTCCCGGATGTTACGCGACGATACTTTTTACAAATTATAATTTATTATATTCCTCATACTCCCTAATTATTGCACACAAATTTATTCCCTCTATCAAATTTAAAGAGGGAATACACAAATAACTTCTCGAATTAAAGAGGGGTGGGCCTACATGATGATGCTTAGAAAAAGAGAGTGGGAATACACAAGCACGATAGCTACATTCACACTGAGTCGCTAACCAAAAAAAAAAACTCGAAAAAACTATTAAAAACAATGTCAAAGTCGAAGTCAAATCAACTAACTCTTATTAAAACATTATTATTCAAATTTAAAAATTAGAGGTATTTCTCAAATTTAATAATGTGACAATTAATTAAAATATTTAAAGTAATATTTTTTATATCTTCTATAATCATCAACCAATTATTTCACTTACATATTATTAAATCTAAAATGTGAGTTAAAAAAATAGACTTATATATAATTTTCCTTATTCTTATTTTTAAAATAAAGCCCTCGTTTGGCATAAAGGTTTTTGGGGCTTAAATGCTAAAATAGCCATAAAAAAATAAAATAGCCTAAAAAGTTAATAAGATAAAATGTCGCATCTAAATCATAATCATTTCTTTTTTTTCTCTCACAAAAGTCAAAAAAGCCAAAAGTCTAACACAAACGATACTTTTTAGCCCCAGGCTAAAATAGCTAAAATATCAAAAAATCAAAAAACCAACCCACATCCCAAATGAAGTCAAATTACGTTAAGACATCATTAACTATTAATGAATAAGGGCAGTATGTTGTCTTGGACTAGACTGTGTTTTTCGGGCTCGTGCGACCCATTATGGATCCTATTTCAATGATTTAAATCGTTCATTTTTTTGGTTTGCCAATATCTAGATTTTAAGTCAAATTTAGAAAAGATGACAGCATCCTAAAGTCAATCTAAAATATCTTTCTTATTTATAATTAGATATATTATCCATTTGAGGGCATTATTAAGAGGCTTATAATTAATAACCAATCTTGTCACACCTCTTTCTTTTTCTGCATTTTTATTAACATAAAATGCTATACAACTCCAAGGAGAGTAGCTAAGTCTAATGAGCGTTTTCTAAAGAAGACTATCAATTTCACTTCTGCATAATTCCAAGTAC